GTCTCCACCCCCCCGGCCCTCACCAATGGACACTAAACTAACACTAGCAAGACGACTCCTGCGGGGTCGGGGAGGGGGGGGGGGAAACAGAGGCTACCCAGCAGACTTTTGTTTAGTAAAACAACTACTACGTTAGCCCCTAGGAGGGAGTGGGAGGGCTCCGCCAATGGACACCTCACTCTTTCAAAGTGAGGTAAGAAAATGCTGCATAAAATATCAAAAAAAAAAGACGTGTAAGGCAATAGCAGATCCTGGAAATCACAGTGCGGGTTCCTGCTCACGTTTCTTTCATTTTTCGCCAAAAAATTGCTAAAATTTCTCGAAATCTTTGTTATTACTTGCATTAGTGTAAAGAGTGTGAGTTTAAAAGGGAAATGTGGTTGTGTAAAATTCAAAGAAGCCATTCCCACATGCATAGGTGCAAAGTGATGCATATTTCGTAAAAAATTTCGTCCGTTAGGCGCAAGCTCGCAGCTTTCTTCAGGCAATTTCGACAAACGTGCATCGAATGGAAGCGTCATCCTCTTCTCAATATTCATTGCTTTCTCTACTTGCACCTCCGACTCCGATTCTAGTTTTTCAGAGAACGTATGCCAGGGGGTGTTGTCACGATGCGTAGCACTTTCGCTGGAGTTCCAGGACAACATTTTGCTGTGGAGGACAGAGTAACAATTGTTTGAACTGGCATCGTGCCAGACGTCGAATAAGTGACAAGCTGATTGTAGCATGCAAGTAATGTTAAGAACTTAAGGAGTGCAGAAGTGGAGCGAACTGTGTACGGATGGATGTAGAAATAGAGTTAATGTGAAAAAACTAAATTAACTCCTCGACGTATTTCTTCTTATCAGCTGTTCTAGAATCTAAGTCACCCGGTTTGTTCCAGAGCTTACGAATCGGTTTTTGGATGCGCCGCATGTTTTTTATGCTTGAATAATGATTTACGTAAGTCGGGGGGAGAGGGTATCAGTAAGTGGATGCACTATTAGTGCTTATTAGCAGAAAATCTCTCAGCTAACGGGTCCAATATTTCAAAATTCGGTGGCATTCATCCAGACAAGGACGAATTTAGGTTCAGTTGGAGGAACAATTTTTGCAGGCAAAACATACACAATGCATAAAAACTCAGTTTTTATTACTTACAAACAAGAAACAAGTAAAAACTATGAGATTTAGTACAACAAAATAATTTATAAGAAAAGGCTTACAGTACAACAAATTATATCAACAGTTATTAGTAATATTTTTCATATTTTATAGAAAAAATCTTACTCAACAGACACTAATATTTACAATAAACACTAACACCTTACAAACTAATAATTTATACATTTCCGATAGAAAAATTTCAAAACAAACCTCTACATTCACTAGTAACTACATCAAATACTTTACATTTACTAATGATATATTTCACATTAAATAAAAGCCAAAGCAGCCGCCGCCATCAGCTTGCTTCTAAGCAACACTCGACAGAGGGAATCGTCGCAATATCCCAGTTTCGTGTCAGCCGAAATATTGACCTGAAATGAAATTCAAACATGTAATTTGATAAAAATGATGTTTTGGTGGATTACGACAGAAATCTTGGCCTTTCAGTAGAAGTGCCCTTCACACCCAGTCTTCCTTGAGAAAACATGCACTTGGAAATGGTTCGAATAAAAAACGCGTTTTGCCAGTAGCAGCAGTCACCAGTTATTTGTGCTGCTCATGGTAGGGAGGAAGTAGTCTGACCAGTGGTCAGACTTCATCCCCCGGGTAAGCGTGGTACCCGCGTACGGGCCCATCAAAATTTTTTTCGAGTAAGTTCATAACTCGGGGAAATGAGAAGCTAGAAGGCTGAAATCTTAGGGGAATGTTCCCCGTCCAAGTGTCGCCTACCAGTCAACAGTGCCTACCAAAAAGTGATCGACGGCTAAACTGGCCAACGTGCAACAAACAAACGGTAGGATTTCAGCTTTCTAGCTTCTCAGATCCCCGAGTTGTGAACTTATCTAAAAAGAATTTTGGCGGACCCTACGCGGGTACGACGCTTACCCGAGGGATAGGTTTCAATGTATTAACACCTACTTGAACGGGGAACATCACTCTAGGGTTTCAGCCTTCTAGCTTCTTAGATCCCCGAGTTATGAACTTACCCCAAAAAAACTTTGGCGGGCCCGCATGCGGGTATTGGCGCCCATTTTGAGGATTGGAGCCAGCACGTGCAAGTAGATTAAGTTCCCGAAATTTTAGCTCCGCAGCTTTTATAGTTCTTGAAATGAAAGTGCGTAACAGACGCACACACAGACACACGGACACACAGACAACCCCTTGTCAATATGCGTTTTCTGCATTGCATAGCTGCAAAAAAAAACACATAAAAAAAAACTCACTTTCAGATAGGTTTGGCCCGCTGGAGCGTCTGCGTCTTGTGCCTGCTGCCCACTCGTTCCTGACGGCCACATTGTCCTCAACGGCCAGCACGCAGGTCCTCCTTTTCGCTTTACCTCCATGCTGTGCTCGCTTTGGTGTCATCCACAAACCAAAAATCGTTTTCGACCATGTTGTAATTGAGCACTCATTTGTCCTGCGACAGCTCGAGCAGCACTTCACCAATTCATTTAGAATGTACTGGTGGTCTGAAAGAGCAAGTCAAGTGTATTGCAGAGTGAGAAATCGTTGTATCTCCGGACACAAGATCCATTTTCGAATACCTAGCCTTGATGCTGCACAGGAAGTTAAGACACCAGAAGCTCGGCGGTTTCATTACCCGCAAAACAATCTCATCGCGGTCTAGAAGTGGCAGCGTTTGAGGCACGCTGGGTGATGTGCAATAACGGGTCGGTGACGCCTCGAACAGAAGAGCATTAAGAGACAAGACTAATGCCAACATCTGCAGCAAGCTGAGCACCAAGCACTGGTCAGAGGGACTTGAGAAGTTATCAGCTGCATAGTTGAAGAACCACGCGATGAAATGCATCTAATCGAGACACCAAAGTATGCTTATTTGTGAGAGGTGAGCACCTCCTCTGCTATGAGGACCAGTAAAAGAAGCGGGCACATATCCTTGCAGGGGAAGGGGAGTGGAATGAGTGAGGGACATGCCGTTATGGCACACAACAAACAGACCAAAGCAAAGCCATACATAGCAACGTAACCA